TAAAGTATTTCAACAAGTTTTATGTCATATTAAACTTAACTGAATTACCTGATGACTCTAGGCCATCCCAAATGGCAGCTCTTCATTGTGCTAGGAGTTTTAGCTATTCCCCCCTCTCTACGGGGAAGCACTGTTCCTCATGGACCCAAGTTGGAAAATCAGATAATTGACCCGGTCCAGCAAGTGTATGTAAATTAAACCAATAAAAGCTTACGGAAAAGGTCTTGTTTCAGTAATGTGTAGATTTTTCAAAATCCCCTATATTGAATGTGAGAGATCCTGGAAGCTGATCCTGTTTTTAAAAGTCTGATTTCTGACTGTGACGTTCAATGTGACTAGATTTTTTAATGCAACAGTCTATTTGAGGTGCTCCGGCAGTACTTGTTTTCTCCAAAGTAGCCCGGCCCCGTGGCCATCCAACCTATGCTTTAGAGCTTTCTGGCAGCATAGCATCTCTTAAGGCAGCTCGTTCTGACATTAGATTAGTATGTTAGAAAGTTTTTTTAAAAAAAATAGGACTGTGATACCTTTTTTGGTATAGATTCCACCCCACTGGTCTTAGTTCCTAAAATATAAATTGTCTGCCTAATAGATCATACAAATCCAACAACCAAGAAACATTAGTAATTGTCTTCTGTACTTTACTAAACACTTTGTGTTTAATATATTTTTAAATTGTAAAGAAATTACAAGGAACTCCTAAAAAAATTTAATACAAAAATATTACAAGTTAGGACAATTAATCATTGAGATGACATTTAAGCAGCATGCAGAAAAAGTAGCATAGGGTTAACATTTCACTGATGACAAAGCACTTTAGGTACAGTAGAGAAAAGCACCATAAAACTACCATCTATAGTGTCTTTTCCTCCACTGTGTTTTTTCAAATGAATATATTGGTAAAACAGTAAACTTCGATCTGATCTGCTATGGATTATACTAGGTAATAAATCTAATTCATTGTAAAGTATAACTGAAATTAAAAATAATCCCTTCTATTATTGTTCGAATTAATTTCAGCTTTCCCTCAAGTTTATAAGGATTCTAATCCTTAGGAATCCAACCCTTTTTGGAAAAGTATACAATGTGGGATATTATTAACAATCTATGCCATGCAATAAAAGATAACCCCTTGAAAATGAAAGCATGTCAGTTCTAACAACTGCAGTGGCTTATTTCTAATAAAACATAAAACTATGCTTGCATTTATTTCTGTTTAAGGAAATAAACAGGAAAAACAGAAGACCTGGAGAGTGTAAGTTCTTAAAAAATGAAAGAGAAAATATGCTCAATGATTCTTTTAAAAAAAGTCTCTAACTCTAAAGGAGTTGGTATTAATTAAAACTAGAAGGTGTCTAGTTGTTCTTCTTATAAAGTTTGTAATAACAACTAGCTAAGAGAGAAAATGATTCAACTATAATTGGCTTGTTGTGAAGCAAAAAAAGGTCACTGAGGAAGCTGAGCCTCCTGTCCTAATCTTCAACACCTCTACACATTGTTTTGTGCTCAACCGTGTGGCTAAGCAAACAAATGTATCTAAGGTCTCTTTTAGTTTATGTGAAATAACGTCTTTTAAATACAATATTGATTTTTCAAAAGAATTAAAAATTACAATCCCTTAGCTGATTAGATGCTCTATTATACTTTAATAAAAATAGTAAATAACCCCTTCATTTAAAAAAATCTTATCTCCTGCAAGAAGTAATAAAAATAGTAAAATTTGTAATTTTATTATGGGCTTACTTTAAAGTATATATCTTGGGAAACAATATGTTTATGAAAAACAGTGGTTTGGGTTCTGATGGCAGTTATAATCAGTAATACCAGTATGGGAGAGAATGAACATGTTATAGGTTATGAAGGCTAACTCGGAGCAAAAAGGTTTATTCTACAATAGAACACTGGAGAAGTAAAAGCAATTAAAATGTAAACAAGAAACTGTAAACAAGAATACCATCCCTCTCTCTTGACTAGTAAATAGGCTATACAAACTACATAGATATCAAAGGTTTTATATATGTACACAGCCAACATAATATCAAAATATATTTTATTCTGGACCTCTTTCAGATCTGATTCAAATTACAGTTGTCAAAGCAATACAATGCAAAGGGGAACTGCAACAACAACAACAAAAAAAAATGTGCCTAGAAAGGATAAAAGGGTCACTGGGGACAAATCATTGTGATGTGGAACCAAAATACATCGTAAGTGTAATTAACATGGTCCAGGACAGCATAGAACATCTATATCAGTCTTCCTTATACAATAATCATGAAAACTGAACAATGAAGTTCTTTAACATGTACAAAAAACTGTCATGGGCTGGTTTACACTTTTACAACAGTTTTAAAGTTAACTGGATAACTAAAGAAATGATGCAGACATTTTAATCCAGTGCTATAGGTAGGCTCACAGAATTAGACCCAAAGGATTTGTAAAAATAAAAATGGAAACAGTATAGCTACAATGTCAAAGTCAGGAAAGAAGAAAATTTACTTCTGTATTCAAGGATTACAGAGCTACAAAATGCAGTCTGCGTTTTTGTTTGTAATGAGATGGATAAGTACATCAGACTAGATACAACATGCAGAATGTTTTCCTGAACTTATCCAGAAATTCCAAAGAAAACATCATGAAACAACTTACTTAAAAACAAAAATATATGCCCTAGTTAATTCACCCTGCTTCAACACTGTCAACGTAAAGGCAGAAATAAAGAAAGCTATCAATACCTCAGAACTACTGATATAAGACATCAAATTTCTAAATCAGTGTATTAAAAAAGTGAACACTTCCTCTTTTTTCTCTCTTCTACATTTAACTAGAATCATGTTTCAAAAAAACTGATATTAAATGTGACACTTCAGAGCTACTACTGGAAGGAGTAATTCGTAACTTCCCTACCCTCCTTCCATCCCTGCTGATTCAGGAGAGGGGGGAAAAAAACAAAGAAAATAAAACGAAAAACCAACCAGGGTCTCTTGTAGATTTGCTGCTATTCCACAAAATGTTGGCATTTGCTGCCATGCCACAATGTTGGTCCACTGAAATAGGATTTCTGCGGAAACTGTCAACAGTAATTCACCATATGCAAGTACCATCCTTAGCATGCGACAATAATCACAGGTTCTGTAGAAATGTACAATGTGCTTAAGATAATGAAAATTGTAGCACTGCATTTGAGATTTGTTTCTCTACTTATCTAGTAAAACTTGTCATTTTTGCTCACTTAAGTATGATCATTTGTGATTCCTTTAAATAGCAAAAATGCACAGTCCTCTTTAGGCCTCTACTCAATAATAGTTTACATCACTCTTAACAAAATCATTCTACATAAACAGATAGCTCCTTAAAAATAGTACTCTCTCGTTAAATCTAATTTGACAGAAAGGAGTTTAAGGGAAAAAGGAGTGCTTTGTAAGTGAAAAAGTACAAATCTTTGGCCTTTCTCTTGACATTTTCTTATGTCAAAAAGCAAAAAACCTTCATGTAATTCAATCTAGTGATTACTTTTTGCACCATAATTTGTTTTTTACACCACAAAAGGAGGCACTTTCAGTATCTGTAAAAGGTATTTAATCCTAAAACATACTTACCTAGAGAATAATTAAAACAGAATTCAATACACTCTAACATCTATTAGGAAATTAAGAGTTACCACTTCTAAAAGTCATTTGAAAGTCAATGATGTTACCTAGTCAATGGCAGGAAATAGGAATTGGAACAAATATAAGAACTTATGGGATTTCCTACACGGAGGCAAAAAAAAAAAAAAAAAAAAAAAAATCAAGAACAAAACAAAACAAAGAAACACCTCTATGTTTTCATTAATATTTCATTCTATATTTATTGAGTGCCTATTGTGTCATAAACATTGTAATAAGGTAGGCACTACTACTATTTTCTTCTGACTAGTAGAAAGAAAAAAAAGTCTCATCTGATGAAATTTATACTCTCTTGGGGTACTAAAGACATAATCATGTGAGAAATGATTGAATCATTACAAGAGATTTGTAAGTACTCTGGGAAAAAAGAAGAGGACGATACAATAGAATGTCTAAAGTTTACGTTATTACAGAGAAAGCCTTGCTGA